GTAATCAACGTTATTCCTTACAACACCCGATTTCTTTGAATCTGCGACGCCGTTCCTTCGTATATTTGTATTAATTATTCTTTCACCCTCTCGTAATTGTTCCGACTCAAACAATTAACATTTTTCCTTTACAGACTTAATGAAATTCATTTCGTCTGCTTATCTCGAAATTTATTAGCGTGTCTTCTTAACAAATTAAATACAAGAGGTAACAATCGCGTTTTGTGACGAAGATGAATTATAAAGTAATCGATTGAGAAAATGGATTAGAACTAGATTATTAGGCGGCAAACTTACTACAGAACTTTTTAATAGTTTAAAACCAGCTCGGAATTAAAATTCATTACTTAATTAGTTTTTAACGTAGGTATTTAAGCACATTTCAGCTCAGTAAAGTAGGATAAAAAGAATTCGTTTTAGTGTTTTTATTTACAAAAAGATAACAGTGGCGTTTGCAATGCAATGCAGCCCGTATTTCCTCCTACCATCGTTTAAAAAGCAACTCTGTTTTATATTTACCAAGATCAAAAAGCACGTTTTTGAGTAATTTAATTAAAGCATTAGATCTTTCACGAAAGAAAACTACTACAATAAAAAGACAGCAGACGGTATTTTGTAACACTATCAAAACTTATCGAATATGCAAAAGTTGTAAAACCAACTAGTCTCCCAGGAAAGTGCTCAATGTTGCTATAGTCACAAGAGAAGATAAGCGTTAACAATTTTCCCAAATCTGAACTCAAAGTAAAATTATTTTCCAATAATAATTTTTGCGGGCATGTGGAACGAAAAAGGAATTTTTAATAAAGGAAGGTATTGTTATGAATATATTAGATGTATCTTCAAGAAATTTATTATCAGGGAACATAAAAATAAATCTTAACATTTCTAAAGATGGCGAAATAAAATGTGTGGACAGTTAAACTAAATTCCACGAAAAATCCAATTTATTATCACTAAAATAGCTGGAAAATTTATCGTTCTTTCTTCGACTCAAAGAGACCGGCGCCGGTTTAATTTTTTAACACCGTCAGTCTAATAATAAACGTAGTATTTCGAAAATAGTTCATAATTAATCAGCGGTCCCTTTTTCGCAATCACCGTCCTCCAATGAGGCGTAAAACCGATGAAAGCGTCATATTCCATCACCCAATAAGTGTCTCCTTTCGAAAAATGCAGAATGCACTGTCTCGAGAAAGCCAGAGCTTTCAGAGTGCATGTTTAGCGTGCTCAGAACGTGGAACTAACATCTGTTGCAACATCATGTCCTGGCATGGTTAATTCCGCATGCAACGATCAGAACTTACTAACAACTTAACACCAAATACATTACCTCCGATATATCATTTTTAGGAGACGGAAATCTCGCTGCTAACGAATAAATGGTAATTTATGCACGAGTTGCAACCGAATGCTTGCAAGTGCGAATAATTAGAGCGGTCGCAGCTGCAAAATCTGGCTCAAATTCGGTAAAAATTGCCGAAATAATGCGTCATGGTGCCGTGTCCCGTTTGAATAAAATATCAGTCTCGAGCATGATATTTGATGTGGCAAAGAAATGAAAATGATATGTCGGCAGATACGAATTTGATGTAATTAAGACCGTTTTTGTCAGATTTAAAATACGCTGATGAGATCCGGTTTATATTCGTAATTTAGTTTCATTACGATTTTGCACGCATTGTTGCTGTAATTAATGAATGTACCGACACGGAAATCGCTAAAATTTGTCCAGGGTATTATTGTTTCGTATTTCAGTTTACTTTAGGCTTTATTGTTGTTATTATTATTGTTATTATTAAATATTTAGTCGTAAAAGTTTGCATTTTGTAATCATAATGGTCTCTTACACAAATAGTAAAAAAGTACACTTTAAATTAAATAAAAGAACGTTTGGAATATATAATTAACTTTATTTCAGGACACATTTTTATGTAAATATGACAGATGGAAGCTGAAACAAACGAATATCTGAAAAGCCCATATTTTAAACTGTTCTCTAATCTTTGTTTGCTTCTGTATTACAGGATCTACTACCTTTTTAAAATAAAAAAAATATTTGTTCACATTTTCAAACAAATCCACCAATATGCTTAAATTAAAAGAGAGTATAAATCTAGTTTTGAACTCCAACCCAATATACTCTGAACACTTATGATCAAGGAACCCCAATTGAACCGTCTCCCGAAATGAACCACCCAAATTTTTCTAACTACAAAGTAGCTAAAATCGTGTATGTGGTCGACTTAACTTTAACTGTTTACATTATAAAACTGTACAGAGAATGGTCATTTTGCGTGTTGGTTACAGAATTAAAATTGAGAAAAGCACCTAAGAAAATACCAACTTTCTTTTACAGGTAAAAGCATTTTTGCCAGTACCAAAAAGCCATTGTTTGAAGCATATTTAAGAATACTTGCAATTATTTGAAATTTATTCATTTGCAAATATGAGGTTTAGAACCTTAGTTTAGAAAACTTCTTATCTGCTTTACGAATTTCCATTTTCTATTTCTATAGATGAGCTAAATCAATGCAGTCGTGGTTATGATATACCTAAATCAAAGTTATTTCGACACATTCGGGAGTCAAACAAAGTCTTCGGTAGGAATCCAACCTTTGATACTGCTGTAGAAACACTGTTGGCATTTTGTTTAACAATCAGAATGTATTTTTGGGCTCACTGTTAGAGCTATGAGAAGCCTTGCTCAAGTTGGCAGAAAAACATAAAATTCCCCACCAATTTAGCACTAAAAAAAATTGCCGGGAAGAAATGGGATTATAAATTTATGAGAAGACCTAAAATTTATTCCTGCGCCAACCTGAATTACCCAAATTGATTGAAACTGTAGCCTCCAAGAAAAGTTTGGGTGTTCAGAAAGCAGTAGAACTCAATAGTAGTCCATATAATGACGCTTTTATTGTCGACACATGAAGAGAAGCAATGGTTTTGTAAGAAATGAGACAAGAAATGATTGAGTGCATAAAGTGCAAAATGTGGTTCCACTGCAAACGCGTAGGAGTCAGTTTGTCTACAAAAATCAAGTTTTTTTTAAGTTGAATATGTTCAGTTTTGAGTTTTTTTTTTGTTTCGTAAGTATTTACAAATACTACTTTCTTCGAGGTGATCTGAGAAACCAGTGGTTCAAATTGAGCAAGCAGATTCCTATATTGAACCATTTCAAGCCGCTAAAAAAATTTGTACTTAGAAGAAATTGGGCTTTTAGAGTCCACAAGGCACCAGTAGACTTCCAAAAGTATAGTTCAAATTTCACTAAAGTTTAAAAGTATTGGAATCAATATTTTAAAAAATTACAGCTATTTTTCTGAAATATTTGAGGAACTTTAACCTACAGGTTGTTTCAAGCAACAATATAAACAAAAATAAATAAATATAAAAATCAATGTTATCGTATATTAATCACTCATAAAATTTCCAATAATATTAATTCATTTTTAATCTAAAATAAAATGTGGAAAAATATTCTAGTGGAACGGCTAATTTAAAATATAATTAATTCTTAACGACATGTAAAATAAAAAGCACCCCAGTCAGCAGCATCAACAAAAAATAGTAATGACAAAAACATAAATACTTAATTTTCTTCAAACTCTCTTGTAAACTTGGGGTAAACGATATTTATTTTTCCAATAAATGTGGTTTTACGACAATTACTTCTGTTTACATTTAATTAATTGTTAATACATCACTAACGTCATTTTAATTTACAGCTTAAGAATAATCATCACACGAAAAGCGCTTTTATAAACTCTCTCTGATTAATTGAAACAAAATTTTTATAAAAATTAGACCATCAATATTCATTTATTATTTCAAAATAACAAACATTACATAAAAACAAATTTTATTTCAATTGCCTTAATTATGATTTTAATTTAAATGTTTAATTTTACTGTAAAAAGTAAAATGTTTGTAACTATTATTATTATGTATTTTCATATAAACATTTGAGAAAAATTAAATCTAAATCATTTTATAGACAAAAATTTGAGCTTGTGGAGACATTTCCCACATTTCCGCTATTTTCCAAATTTGTATTAATTAAATCGATTGTTCGCGAGGGCCTGATTTAACAGAAAACTGTTTAAAAAATCAGTGGAGCAAAAATCCGGCAATAAAACTGCCAATGTTTGCCACTCAGCGTTCACATCGACTTTTTTTTCCAATTTTCACCCCAAACAAAAAATTTTCATCATCGCACTTTCAGCGCAAATAAAGAAAAAAACAAATAAATTACTCGCTTTTATTAAAGCTTTCACACGTTTTAACTACGCGTCAATTTTTTCTATGAAAAAAACCCTTCAACAATTGCGATCGGCGCTCTTTAAAAACATAAATTATGGTATTAAAGCACATGCGATTTTGGTACATTGACACCGCAACCTCGAAGCCACTTTGCAAGCTTTCGGAATAATAAATCGCGATTTATGCGATTTGGTGGCGAGGCGCACCTGCGAAGACACTCTGTATATATATGGAAGACGCGAATAAATTGAAGTTAGCAAGCAAATGAATGGATTTTTACGAGGAATTTTGCTTTAGTGACGGTTCATAAAGTTTGATGAAATGCTAAAATAAAATTTTTATGGGTTTCTACAGGTGACAGCGCATTTATAAAAAAGCACGTTTAATGGCCATAATTTGGGCGAAATTTTTGATAAAGTATCAATTTTAGGAAGTAAAGTGGATCAGAGAAAAAGCGATTTTGATTCAAGTTTGTTTTATTATATGAGTGGATAAAATATTCATCAACTCGTCAAACAAGGATGGCAGATACAAAATCCGTTTAACCGGAAATTGGAAAAAATCTTTTTCGAATAGTATACAGAGATAAAAGTTGCAAACCAATCTCGTTTATATTTTAATGGCCAAAGTTGGCTAAATTTGATGTTTTTTGTACGGTTATATAACGCAACGTTTTAATTGAAAATAAAACAACAAAAAATAAATATTTACACAAGATGCAAAGAAAAACCCACCTTGTAGAAGAACCGCCGAAACAACGAACAGTGTAGAAAGCAAAGAACACATCCTGTCAGTTTATTTTACACTTAAATAAACAAATCAGTTCACTTGAAAACTTCTCAAAATTACCGTTTCAGTCACTTGTAATTATTTCAACCAATTCACATTTGCACTTATTGTCCTTTTTAGCAGTTCTTTAATTAAGTAGTTTTACGAATGACATTTTATTTAAACACTCGAAAATTTCAACCTTCCGATCCAATTAAAACCTGAAAATGAAAAAAGTTATTAGTCAAAGAAAAGTCAGTGATTTATTTTGACGCTCTTTTAATCAGCAGTGTCATGTGAAAATGCGAGAAAAACTTCTCTGATTTAATTAGCTTTGAACACGTCTCTTGAGTGCAAAGAGTCAACAGTTCAAATTAACTTGTTACCTTGCAATGGAACTTTCAATAATGCTCCGGCAATCTTTAACTTTCGTCCAATTGCTTCAAATAATTACAGAGCAATTTTCCCAAAGCAAAAATTCCTACATTAATTTAATTGAATCGGTAAAACGCTATCGTTTCATAATATGAATTTTTCAAGAGTGCTGAAAAAGAATTCAGACCATACATGTAAATCAGGTGCCATGAAACTCCGATGAAAGGCGCGAAAAAGTTCACAAGAACACGCGTCGACTCGAAAATACGGCCTTCCAGCACGCATCTACATCTAACCAAGAACGCGGAAGAACTGCGGTCCGTTTGTAATCGCGAAGTGCGGACTAGCTAGCGCAGGCGCTACCCCTATTATCTAGTCAAGGGAGGCAACAGAACCAGGTCTTTTCGAATATCTTTGGCTGTCATTGATGCATATGAAACTGCGTCCTAAAAAATTAACGTTCAACTATTGTAATTTTTTCAGGAATCTTCTGTTTCAGTGGCGCCTCGCACCCATGATATCATATCTCTGTCGTCGCCTGAAACTGTCTGTAAATGAAAAAAATACGCTTCTACAGGATGAGAATTAAAAACGAAGAAGTATTTATGAACATACATTAATGAAAGAAATACAACATTTTTATTCGTCAACTTTTGAAGCTGATAACATTGTCGTTTATTTCATGTAACAAGTGTAAGTATACATACAGTGTAAAAATAATTTTACGCAACATGACAAAATCCATAGGTTGAAACAGTACAATCAATAGGGTTTCCTGAAATAAGAAAAAAACGAACTATACACCGACGAATCGAAACAATCTGTTGTTACTATGCCTACGAACATACAGAGTGCGCCAGAACGCGCGCCCCAGAGAAAATTTTCAAGTAAAGTAAGATACCAGGAACACGGAAAAATTCTATCTGTCGAAAAATTATGACATTTATTTTTTGACATTTCACATTTTTTATGTCTATTTAATGATACTGATGATCTTGTATACCTATGCTTTTTTACAATTAGTTAGTAAAAGTACAAAAATTTTGCCAATAAAAGTCTCAAATAACATTGAACAGACTTACAATTTAGGATATAGCTTCCTAGTTTCCTCTTTTAATAGTCTATAGCAAAAAAAACTTAAAAAAATATTTTTCCAACAGAAATAAATAGAGTCAAAGTGCAAAATTTAAACTCTCATAACTTCGAAATTTTTATAGATAAAATTTTTTTAACATTTTTTCCATGTTCCTGGTATCTTACCTTACATGGCATTTTTCTCTGGGGCGCGAGTTCTGCCGCACCCTGTATATAATAATCTTTCTTGCTTCCTCTTATTGTTTGTACATCATTTACTCTCCAACCCATAACAGAAGCAATGCTGCATCAAATTAGTAATACAGATAATTAGTTATACACATTGTCAAGAATAAGAAAGGCCCTAAGTCGCGAGTGCGCAGTAGACAAGTAAAAGATGGGGAAAGGAGCTTCTCTCTTTTTTCCACAGAGAGACAGAGTCCATCACTCTCTTACAGAGATTCGCTCTTTCTATCTTCTGCGTATCTCGCGGCCTTCCTTTTTCTTGACAAGCTGTATGTATTTATGTTTACAAAACTAGTCACAAAACATTATCAAGCTTGTATTCATAATTAAAAATTTTGCAATTTATTTTGTCTTCAAATGATTTTTTTTTAAAAATTTAATTAATATTTTATACTGTTTAATCGTAAAAATTGTCTTCTGACAGGTTGTGAAATATTTTTTACCAAATAGAAAGAAACAAAGTCATAACCTCCTAGAGAATTAATTTTTAATCATCAGTGTGTTATATACATAATATGTCTTAGAAGCAGCTTGTTAAAAATTCCGTGGAGCTGCGGTTGACTAAAACTTAAGAAAATATCTAGTAGATAGCAGTAAAACAGCACGAAGAGAGTTCTTTGTTCCTATTGGCTAGTACAAAGACAACGGTGTCAAGAAATGTACAGTGCAGTACCTCAGAAATCATGGCTTCGTCGACGGTGGCGCCCTCTGGTGGTTCAAAAGTTTAGCCCTCTGCTCTTAAAAAACAAGTGTTTATGGAGATAATACGCTTAAATTAAAGTGGATTGGACGCGTAATCAGCCTAGTTCAAACCATTAAAATAATTTTGAAAGTTGATGTATTTTTTGATTTCTGTTAGTTTGTCTTTTATTTTTGTTATATGTATGTAATAAAGAGAAAAAATATGGCTTTTTTTGATTGACGATCATTAAAAATTTAAATTTCCAAATGCATAGACAACCAGTTTTTTTTTAGGTGCTATGTGGAGATATTAAACATATTTTGCATTTAAATTAATAAAATTTACTACTGTGAAATTAGCTGTCCGATGCTGCTACCACCCACTTCTTTCTTAAAAAAAATGGACCATAACTTTGTCCTTTTTTTTCCACAGGCAATAAAGTGATTCGTTTTTCACTAAAATACTGATTTTTACTCATAAAATTGCATATTGAATATGATGACAAATTATTTGAAGAATTTATCATTTTTCCATGTTATTATTAATTTAGTTTGTTGGGAAGAAGGTTTTCTAGAGAAAACGTCCCTTAAATTTAAATGCCCTCGGCTCCCTTCGGTCGCCACCGTTATTTTTTCTGACAGTTGTGCTGACAGTTTTATAATAGTATATTATAATGCTAGTTTATAAGCAAGCCTTTAAAACACGCAGGACGGGTTTTAACGTCGTATTATACCTGCCCATTTACGATCTTTTATGAGCATTCAAAAAATGTGAATTTACACAATAAAATTATCAAAGGTTGTTTGTGAATCGTTTTCGTAGAGACGGTTACTAGTTTACGTTGTTAAGCACATTTTTTCACGTTGTAATTGGTCCAGACATTTCACTATTTCATGTTACCTACAGATAACTTTAAAATTTCAGCGTGCTATAAAGGCCAAATTACGCACACTGCAGCGTGTTTTAATTTAGGATTATGATGCAGGTATAATAAAAATTGCTGTAAAAGATTTAAATCTGAAGAAAAGTGATGATGACATAAAGATTTGGATTAAATTTTATTTTCGATTTGTTTTTAATTTGGTTTGTTGTAGAATCATATTAAATCAGAATTTAATTGTAGCTGGTTATTTTATGTTGATGGAACAAATGTTACAACGGCGCTACTATACATGAAATATGCTACAAAATGTTTTAAATAATTTTACGAAACCTGCGCCAGCAAAATGCAATCAGCAATAATAGTAGATAGTTCTATACGAAATCGATTAAGAATATTGAAAATGTGAATCGACTTCTCTAGTTTGTACATTTCCCATAACATTATTTGGTTTTTAGAAAATAGGTTATTTACATCGATTACAATCATGTTCGAGTGATACACAGAGTTGTGATACGACTACTTGTCTTTAAGAAAAGTAATATTTGTATGTTATGTTTGCTATGACGATTTTGTGACACTGTTATATCAAAGAACGGTGTTATTACAAAATGCAACCTTGCAACACTATTTTTAGCAACTTTTTATGCAACACTGTTACCAGCACTAACTGCATACTGTCGCTTTTAAGTGAGAAATTGTTGTGGATCAATGAATTTCATCAAAACAAATCCTAATTTGAGTTATTTTCAAGCGATATGGATGCTACATACGTGAAAAGTCATCATTAGTTTTTACTGCCAAAGTAAAATAAATACTATTTCTATCCAAAATTATGGTATATATCTACAAATGTATACAATTATGATATTCCTACAAATGTTTAATCAAAATAGCTTGTTTATAGAATTATAGGATTATAGAGGATTTAACACATTTTCATAAAGAAAAATATTTTATTCTTCGACACTGTCAAAATTTACGGTTTTTCTCCTGTGTAAGGAAGTTTTGACAACTGTTTGGCATTTCTAAATACGAAACGTCAGATTATTTTTAACAGATTTAAAGCAAGTTTAAGCCTTATTGAGTCTAATTCGAAGAATAAAATGTTGTATTCAACTCGTTTGAGTGTAAATCGGACGTTTTATTCCACCTCGTGGATGATAAACCACTCGTTACACTCGTGAAATAATCCGTCCCATTTACACTCGTCGAATAAATAACTATTAATTTAATTACATGTTTAATTAATCTTATTTACTACTGTGAAATTAGCTGAACCGATACTGCTACCATCAACTTGGTACGGTCATAAACAAGTTATCTTTAATCAAGCCATTTTGACTGAACATAACTTGACTATTTATGGTTTAAAAATGTCTGAAGAAGAAAGCAGCCGCTTTTGAAACATTACGTAATAATAAAATATAAGAATTAACAAACGTTATTTATTATTCCCGAATCTTTACGAGACATAATTTTAAATAAATATACATGAGAAAATGAAATTAACTACAAAGATTATTAAAATTAGTTAATTGTTCTATGCTTTTACTTGTGCAATTTAAAATTCAGTTATAATTGGAGGCAGTGTTATGTAGTAACAATACAGCGAGATCAAAAAGCTCTTCTGTCAAACAAGCGTAGAAATTTACAATGTATGTTCACGGAAGTACGGAGAACACAAAAGAAAAAGTTTTATTGATAATTTAGTAACTGAAAAATATTTAAATAATTTTTATGTTACATTTTGACAGGAAACTCTTATACTCGTATACGATTTGTATAGATAAACACCAACATCTTATTTCAGAATGTTTTCAAAGATTTTTTAGGATACTGAATTGGTTTACATAGTTTACATAGTTACAAACGAGTCCGGTAGATAAAATTTACCGGCCTAGTCCGGTAGTAGTCTTGTTAAATTTTTGTTTTCATAAATTTTTGTTTAATTTGAAAGTGATCGTTGCAGTATCCTAAAAAATCTCATAGAATATATGATCGGTAGCATTTTCATGGCCTTGCCAAACATACAGTTCTCGCTTTACAGCTCGTTTAAAAAAATTGTTTAAAAAACATTGAAATTAAAAGCTGCATTCAAAAATGTCATGAAACATAATGGTGTTTGTTTTAGGGCTTAAAGTTTTACTATTTATGTTTTATAATAAACAAAATGTCAAAAAAAATTCTATAAATTTGAAAAAAAAAGTTTTTATTAGTATGTTTTATTCCTGCCAGAATTAAAAAAAATACCGAATAATTAAACAAAATTTGTGTTATTATGTTATTAAACATTAAACATATTATAATCGTTCTGGTGACGCAACTGCAAATTAATAAAAATGAATTGGTTCATCAACATAAAAATTTAATGGTAGATACTTAATTTGGTTTTATATTATTTAAAACTATCTACATCTAACTCGTTCTA